GCTCCTGCAGACCTCTGTGCCTCTCTTCTGCTGGGCCACCCTGCCACCCTCACTCTCCACCCTCAGGCTGGCTGGGGACTGGGGGAAGGTGACCCAGCCTGTCCCTCCTCATCTGCAGGAGCGGGCACCGTGCTGGACACAGCTCGCCAAGTGTGAGGCTGGGCGGCACCCACGTCCCCGGGCAGTGGGAAGCTTGGCACAGCGGCAGCTTTCTCTATGACGGTAAATGCGCACCGGAGACATTCAGGTCCCCTGTTCTGTTGCTCTGTGTCCTCAGGGTGGGTGAGAGAGGACTCTGGGACCACTGAGCCCAGTTCCTGACCACTTTCCTTGACACGTTGCCTTGGGGAGCTGGCATGTCCTCGCTGCCGTGTCTCACTGCTCAGGGACTCAGCTCGAACAGCAGTTGCAGCCCCAGGCCCTGGGAGAGTGCTGAGTCATTCACCGGTCCTGTGACGCTCAGAGAGCTGTTCCTGTACTTGGGGGTCACCAGGTCTCCCCTCAGCCCTGCAGGAGACATTACCAAGTCTTCCCCTCCAGAATCGATGGACAGCGAGGTGCCCTGTGGTCATTCTTATCTCTCAGGAACTGGCACTCTTCCCACCTGCCCACTGCCAACTGGGCTCCGCCTGGCCATCTCCACCCAGGGAACAGTCCAGGATGCTGGGGAGGACGTGGACACTCACTGACCTCTCCTGGGTGCTGGCCCAGCTGACTTTTTGCATCCTTCCTTAGTGACCGGTTATCAGTCTTTGGCTGGGCTTTCGAGACCAAACCTCCTGGCTGGCCGAGTCCCCATCCTGGCGGGCAGCCCACGGAGTGCTGGACGTGGTGTGCAAGGGCAGAAGCTTGGGACCGAGCTTTGGGGAGACTCACCTGGGTCCTCACAGCTTCCTCCAGACAGGCGGCCACGTGGAGGATGCCCCTGTAGCCAGAGAGAGCTGCTTCATCCCTGCTGGGGACGCTGAGTGGCCAAGAAAAGCTGTCACAAGAGTAGAGGCACCCAGACTCAGGGAACACTGGCTAAGGAGAATGTGGGGTGTGCTGTGCACAGCACACACTGAATATGGTGAGCATTTATATCCCAGCCCTGAGCTACAGGCTCACGGGGCAGCCACCACCAACCCTGTCAGCTGCCTACCTGAGATCAAGAGAGATTAGGGAAGGGGCCTATGGCCCCTATTGCTAGAGCTAGGATTCACATCTGGGCCTCTAAGAGTTTGAAGCTTGCCTTGCTATGTTACACAGGGATCTGACCCCATGAGGTCAGGCAGGGGAAATTACAGCCGTTGCGCTGTGGGCGAAACCATAAGAGCTATTTTAAAGAAAGAATAAAACATGCTTGTCCCAAAGTTCCACCAAAGAATAACCCAGGAACACATGTGCAAGTCTTCTGCATTCTTCCCTCCCGGGGTGTCCCACCTTCTCTGCCTTGAATCGTAAAACAAATAATGGCTCTGCACTTGAAGTTTTGCAAACTAAACCATCTCTACAAGAACTCTGGTATGTTGCAAAGAAGTGATTTTCCAAAAATACACATTCCTTTAGGTTTCAATGTGAGGGCAGTCATGGGACCTCTGCCCCCTCCACCGGGCAAGTCTACCACATTAAAGCAAATGAGGACAACCCAGATGATTAATATGAATTAGCCTCTCCATGGCCCTTCATGTTGGCAAAGCACTGTGCTCTGCTGCTGCGGGTTTGTATAAATTAAGGGACTCTGCCAGCCAAAACACCAGGAAGAAAGACCCCACCAGGCTTTGATGGAATCAAATGGGACATCATTCTTTGGCTGATGCTGAAGTTTTCATTTGAAATTGAAACAAGAGAAAATGCCCAGGTTAAAAAATACCTGTGGCCAGAGAAACCTTTGACCTAACATTTTCACAGCAGTAAACCATGCAATATTCAGCGCCCCCCTCCTAGCCAGGCAGCAGCCCATCAGAAAATGGGTATTGGCCTTGCTCCGCCCTCTGCAGGGTGAAGGCTGCAGGGTTGGCCTTGCAGAGCTGTTCCTCATCCCATACACAGTGAACCCGAAGACTCCACGTGGCTTCTCCTGGCTGCAGAGCCTCACTCAGGACTAGAGTGTGACCCCTGCCTCCCCTGGCCGGGTGGTAGACGAAGCCGATAAAGGGTGCGTTATAGCACAAGTTACCCAGTGCTGAGCTGCTGCCCTGTGAGACAAGGCACTGGCTGTCAATGCCAGCTCCCTACTGCCCGGTCAGGCGCCCCTAGATCCTGGGGTCAAACACCACAGTTCCAGCCTTGCTCCCTGGGGCCGGGAGAGCTCCCTGTCTCCCAGTGCAGCAGCTGGAGGACAGGAAGCGGATGGAAGAGGCCAAGGCCAAGGCAGGCTTCATGTTGGGAGGAGGACGGGGCAGGGGCCGGGCTGGCTCATCCCTGAGACCTGGCAGGCCCCGCCTCTGGGGCCCAGGTGCCTGCAGGTGACCTGAGAATGTTTCTCTTTGGATTTCAAGTAAGATCAGAAGAAAAAGTGAACATAATACTAGTGATGCCTTTGGACTGTATTTGCCTTTATATCCTCAGGTATAAAATATAATTCTCAAGTATTTTTTAACTGAAGAAGGCATCCTGAGGAGCCCTGAATATCACGTAGAATCTCAGGGCAGGAGAAGTGCACCAGCAGCACCTCTTGCTATCCATACCTTCTCCCTGCAGAGCAGAGCGGGCACATGGGCTCCAGCCCCCCACCGTGCAGGCCTCTCCTATGTCTCTTCTGCTTCTTGTGCCTGCTCTGGGCTCTGGCTGTGTTTTTCTGTCCCTAGATGTAGTGGGCATCTCTTGCCATTGTCTGCTCAGTGTCTGCTCCTGAAGCTTTGCCACCAGCCTGCCCTCCTGCCTGGACTGGAGCGGGCAGCTCATGCAGACCGGATGCTCCCTCCTTGCATTGGACTTTTGAACAGAGTTCCAGAAAAGCTGCCTTAGTTCCTGGCCCCAGATCATTGGAGGGCCTCACCCCGTTCTTTGAGCCCTGGTCCTTCAGCCCTTCTTCTGTCACCCCCTGGCACCCCTTGGCTTGGGTATGCAGAGCCAGTGCCCATGGCTTGAAGCCCAAACCCTTCATTTACACCGAGGGAAAGAGCTCTGCATCCTGGTTCATTCCTCTGCTCTGAATCTCAGCAGAGAAGCACCAAGCCAAGATGCCTGCATCTCAGGTAATTGCAAGTAAGCAAGGTAAGTACACTGTAGGAAATCTGGAAGAAGGAAATACAGCAATGAAATTATTCTTTCTCTTAGAAGTTAATGAAATGGAAAAAAAACTAGGTAGTGGATTGACTGAGGCCAATTTGTAACACCCAGCTGAAGTGAGTCAGCGTGGTCTGGTCATGGAGGACACACCTGAAGATTGTTACCACTAGCCATAAAGAGAGACCTGGGGAGGAGGATCTGGGTCTGTTGATTTTCTAGGAGAAGCTTGCTGCTGATGGTTTTCCTAATGCAAACTAGGCTGTTCTAGTCGGAGGAGGAGCTCGGGACCTCACTGTCACTGGGTATGGCTGCTGCTTTCATCAGGGGAGCTCTGATGTTACCCTGAGCATCACTTCCTGGCTCCACTGTGGATCCCTCAGCCTGGTGGGACAGATCCTTCATCTCAGCAGCGTAGATTTTCTAGCTTCCACCACTGGCCTTTGGGCCTTCCAGGTTCAGATCCTCAATACAGACAAGCTTGAGAGACATTGTCATGGGCTCTAGGCCACGGGCTGGACTGGAGGACACTGCCTTGGACTCTAAGCCTTTAGCTGGACTTGTGTGAGAAACTGCTGGGACTGCCCTCAGTTGAATGTTTTGGGCTTCTTGTGTGTGGTTAATTTCTTGCACTCCTTGCATTTGACTCTGGGTAATTATCATAAAATAACCTTATAAGTTATAGGTCCTGTATTTGACAAATTCCTTCATCCAATCCTGCTGACTACAATAATTTATAAAAGAGAAAAATAAACAGGGCCAGCACAGCTCATTGAAAAGATTAATGAAATTGATAAATGTCTGAAAAGACTGACTGAAAACCAAAAGCCCACAGATAACAAATATAACCAGATTCCACAGAGTGCAGATGACCAGAGAAGATAGACTATAAATCTGAAGGTTTCAGTGTGTGGACAAAATCCTAGAAAATGCAACTGATCAAAAGTGACAGCAGGAGAGGGTTTTAAACTCTGGCATAATCTCATAATTATGGAAAATTTAAATCCATAATTTAAAAACATCTTTGAAAATATATTTTTAAAAATCTTTCATAGCATCCCTGTTAAAGTCCATTGAAATTTAAGGAAGAAACAATTTCAGCCTTAAACCTTTCAAAGGCTATGAAAATGTAGAACAAGCCTCAGTTCATCTTATGATGTTAGCATAACTTTACACCAAAACCTGACAAGACAAGAGCAAGAGACCAAAGGAAGCTAAATTCAATCATGATAATGCGGGAAAACTCATGACCAAAAGTTAGCAACCATAACGCAGTCATAGAGGTAAAAAGTAAATATACCACTGCCAATTTAAGTCTAGAAATATGAGTGTAGAATTGATGTAATATTAACAAATTCACTACTATACTGTGTGATATTAAGAAATAGAAGTAGTTGGGTGTGGTGGTGCATGCCTGTAATCTAGCACTAGGGAGGCTGAGGCAAGAGGATCGCTGTGAGTTTGAGACCAGCCTGGGCTACATAGTGAGCTCCAGGCCAGTCTCAAGCCGCCCCCGCCCAAATAAATAAATAAAAATCCCCTTTAAGAACATAAAAGTGTAAGACACTGAGTGGGAGACAATATTTGGGACTTGCAACTGACAGAAACATGTATCTGGCATGTGAACAGCTGTAGATTAATAAAAATGGTACAACCCAATGAAAAATAAGTAAGAAGCTGTGGAAACAGGATTTTCCAATGGCCAGACAACGCATGAAGAGCAACTGATTTCACCGCGGTGGTGACAATGAGATGCTGTGTATCTCTCCAGAGAAAGAGACCAAGGGCCCGAAAGTTCAAAGAAAATTTACTTATTTGCCCTTGCATGGAGTTTGTTTTGCATTACCCTTGTATTTCTCTAATCCTGTAGAGCAAAGTTAAATTACATTTAAATTAAAGACAGGCAGCCAGGCAGCCAAGGGTGCCGCAGCAGTACTGCCCGGCGGCTTGGCTGCGGCCCGGGGACAGGCATTTGCTGACGGACGTTCTGACAACTACACAAAGGTGATTTGTGGCTGAGAACTCAGCCGATGGTGCTGTTCCACAGGTAGCTCAGGTGCCAGACAATCCTTCTTTCTTAGTAGCAGTGGGCTGTACTAGGACAACCTGGTTTTCAGCTTACAGGAGCTAAGGGCCAGGCTGGGTGATGTCTCACAGGCTGGAAACGAAGCCTTTGAACCTCTGTGGAAGGGCCCGTCTTTCTCTTTTGATGGCCCATTCCTCTGCCAACATTAGCTGCATGCCTTCCGTGTGCCAGACATTGTTCTGGATAACAAGGACATAGCAGTGAGTAAAGTAGATAGAGCCCCGCCCTTTTGAGGCTTACATCTCAGGGACAGAAACACAATAAACAAAGAACTGGTCAGAATTACTCGTGCCCAAAGTAACATGTGATATGAAGAATGTTTCAGGGCTGTTAGAATTGGGAGTAGTGCTATTTTGGGTAGGGTGGCCAGGTAGGGCCTCTCGAGGAAGCGATCTTTTGGCAGAGAGTAGAATGAAGAGAAAGAAATAGCTTCCAAAACTCTGCAGGAAGGAACTTAGGTGGGAAGAAGAGCAAGTACAAGAGGCCTGGGGTAGCTCTGCCCTTTGGGGCTCCATGTGGTGGCTGGCCTCCCACTCACACTCCCGGGTGACGAGGGCGGTGTCTGTCTGCTCACAGCTCCTGGCCATCCGGGAGTCTCAGCCTCCTCTGAAGGTCCTGAGCGGAAGGAGGCGTCGCTGGTCACTTCCCAGCTTCTGACTGTCCAGCTCCAGCCCTGGCTGCAGCCCGGACCCTGTTTCTGCCCCTGCACGGTCTCCCTTCAGCTTGTCACTGGTGCAGTTTCATTTCTTCCACACAAAAGTTCTGTTTTCTTCCCTCTCACAACTCTGGCTCGTAAACACTTAAAGCTCAAACCAAACAACAACTTCCCTTCCCTCGTGCTTTGGGCACCACTCTACACTGGCCCTAGGTGGTGCCTCAGCCTGGCCCCCAGGGGTCACTCCCCTCCTCCACGCTGCCCCTGGACTGTGCTGTCCTTACCGTCCTGCCCCTTACCCATCCGGTGCCATCTGTGTCCTGAGGCTTGAGGGTCACACACAGCCACTTCCTCTGCTCCGGGAACTGTCCCTCATCCCCCTCCAGTTTGGGCTCACGTTTTCTGCTGCAACCCCAAGGCACCTAGGTGGAGATCCACTGTCTCAGAAAATCCCTCCTGTCTGGCTGGGGAACCCCTGGCCCTGTGTGCAGCAGGCCTGGAGACAGTTACCCCTTGTACCCAGTGGGCAATGTGAATAACCCTCGTGTCCTCCTCCACCTCGCCCAGGTGTCCTGCTGCAGGGCCAGGCCTTTCCTGGGAGGCCCTGGGGGCTGATGGCTTGTTCCAGCCACTCCAGCACCATCCGTCTCTTCTCGCAGCTCTGCCGAGCGCCCGGTGTCCCCTGGGCCTCTGTTCCTGTGTCTCAGGTCCTCGTCCTCCCCGGGAATGTGTGGGGATCTTCGTGGCATTCCCCGGCAGTAGCAGGCTTCTCGTGAGAGCACCAAGGGAGCCTCCAAGAGCCCTCTGCTCGGGTGACCGTGATCCCGGCCGTGTGCAGTGGGAGCAGGGCAGTGGCCCAGGCTGGAGCCAGGCACCCTGACGGAAAAGGGGAGCAAAGTACAAAGGTCAGGAGCCTGCCTCCTTCATGGTAAATTCACGCCTGCATTCCACTGCCTCTCTCGAGTCATTTTAGACATGGATATTATATTCCAAGCTCAGTAGATTTATTTCCTGGAGTTCTTGGAGTCTAAATTTGCTGTTGATTCTCCTGGTGATGGCCCATGGAATTTTACACAGCCCGTTCTTGATAAACCAGAGCCGGGCTCATGTGGCTGGTTTTGTCTGAGGTGTCCTGGGCAGTGTAGGTGGCATGGAAAGAACCCCCCAAACCCTTCCAGGCTTGCTGCTCTCGAGATGGCTCTGAGTTGGGCCTCGTCTCCCACCTCCCCCTGCAGTGAATGGACCTTCTCCAGTTCACCATTTGTGCTAGGGTTCTCTGGAGAATTAGAACCAACAGAACAGTGTGTGTGTGTGTGTGTGTGTGTGTGTGTGTGTGTGTGTGTGTGTGTAAGCACAGAGGCAGAAAGAGGCAGAGACAGGGTGGGTGTGATTTTAAGGGTTGGGCTTGCATGATGAGGAACCTCAATGAATCCAGCACCGGCCAGGAGCCCACAGGCTGTCGCATTTGATTCCGGAGGCAGCAGTGGGCAGAGCTCTCTCCACAGGTTAGCGTTTGCACAGATAGATGAGGCTTGGCCACTTCACGGACAGCAAAGATATCAATATTAATCTCATCCAAAATCGTCCTCTCAGGAACATCAGCAGGCAGCGTAAGTCCATATCTGAGCATGGGAGCCCCAAGGTGTAGGTGCGGTCAGCCAGTCAGCCGGTGCCCGTGTCGGCGAGTGTGGGGAAAGTGAGGAGTCTGGCTTTAGGTGGAAGCCTCCGTTTCGATTTCCTGCCTCATACCGGCCCAAATGCTCCATCTCCAACTCTGCCCAGAACTCGTCTATTTTTAGGCCCAGGTTTCTGAGTTCCATTTAGGATGACCTAATTCTCAGAAGTTGGATTTTCATTTGGAAGCACATTATTTCTCTCATTAAATTACTCTTCTCTCCTGACGTTCCTGAGAAAGCCAACTCTTTAATGATGTGTGGGGATTGGCATCCCCTTGGCCCACTGGTCTCCAGTCCAGTGATGTGGAGATGGATTTTAGCACCTGTGATCCACACACAGCCTCTGTGTGATCCACGAGGGGACCTGGAGCTCAGATGTCGTCCACCCAGAGGGACACCGTGATCGGAGTCCAGCTGACTTAGGCACCACGTGAACTCCGGCTTTGCTGGCCCTGGGCGTGGAGTAACCACACTCACAGTGATCACGGCCTTGGCAAAGGCCCAGTGGAGGGTCTCACGTCCGGTACCGGTGATGGTGATGCCACCACATTTGAGAAGCATGAGGCGCAGCGCCTAGGAGGTGGCCTGTGCCGTTTCCTCAGAAACTTGGGGAGCCCGTTGCTGCAAGAAGGAGGTGCTGCCATCCCCTTGTTGCAGACGGAAAGGTCTGTGAGGTTGCCATGTGCAACCCTGCCATGTAACAAACAATGCCAAGTTCCAGTGGCTTCTCTACCACAGGCTTCTCTGTGGCTCACTGGGACCCAGCCAGGCTCGCTTTGAGCTCCAGGCTTCCAGTCCCGGGAGCCGGCAAACCAGCGGCTTTCTGCAGGGCTCCCCACCGACATGTGGCGAGCCAGCCCCTAACACTTCCCACAGGACTTTCTCCTGTGTTCCTTTCCACCAATGGAGTTAAGCCCACAGGCAGCAGGGGCCAGGTGCCTCCATGCACAGAGAAAGAGCCCCAGGGAGACGGCAGAGGCAGAGGCAGGTGACAGGATCACCACGCTGACCGCTCCCCACGCACCCAGCCTCCTCTGTCAGGAGAGGACAGGGCTGCAGGCCTCTGCTGAGGTGCCAGTGCTGTGGGCACTGGTAGAGCTAAGGCTGCCCTCGGGCGGACCCTTATCTGCCGTGCTCGCTGTCATGGTGCAGGACCAGACCAGCGGGTGCTCAGGGGCCTGTGCTGAATGAATAAATGAGATGCTAATAGAACCCCACTCAGTGCACACAGAACACCTGAATCCCAGTGGGCCTGTGTTTGAGAACCTGGGACAGGGACACTCTCTGCTCTGGGGGAGGCACCGCTACAGCAAGCCCACAGCGAGGCAGCTACTGAGTCACAGGAGAACCATGGCTGAGGCCCAAGAAATGGGGGTCTCCTGGGCCCTGCTTTGTGGAGAGGACTCTGACACACACACTGGGGGGCAAATAAATCACTTTGCAATGGGGGAAAGGGGGTTGAAGCACAGACTTGGTGATTAATCCATTAATTTCTACTCTTGCAACCCACACACGAAAGAATAAAAATTAGAAGCCTATCTGACTGACAGAGGCAGCAGCGGGTGGACAGAAAAACAAGGATTTCCACAGCAACGAGTGGGGAAGGGAGCACTTTCCCCCAGCTCTAGGCTGGACAGCCTGCTCCTGCCCAAGCCTTGAGGTGCAGCGACCCATCTGACCCTCACAGGGCAGAAGCAGTGGTGCTCCTGAGCTGTTCACAACCCTCTTAAAAATAGGAGATGAATCCCTGCTCTGTCCTGTGCATTCAATACCACAGCACCAAGTAAGATCAAAGACAAGAAGTGGAGATGAGAGCGGCAGATCCTGGAGTGAGCAGTCTGGCACAAAGGCTGCAGACCTCTCCTTAGGCTGCCAGTGCTCAGGCCACTACAAGGCGGGGCCAGCTCAGGGCTCGACCAGCAGGGCCACAGGAAGGATACAGAGCCGAGAGGTGTGTGAGACAGACGGGGGAAGAGAGGTGACCCAGACTTGCCCTGTCACCCTGCAGCCGCTGCCCAGGGCTCCCGGAGGGAGGCGAGGATTGACATGGACCCACCCCGCTTGACCATTTGTTTCTCATAGGTTCCACATCTCATGCTGGTCGTTCGACCTTAGACCCATTTCCTGTTTTTCTTGTGTTCTGCTCTGTGTGGCACTGGTCCCCCTAGGGCGGGCTTCCTAGGATCCTTTGTCGGCTGGCCTCTTGTTAGGTTCAGCCGTTGGAAACCCTGCCAGGATGCGGGCGTGATGTGTCCAGGACCCGGTGGTCCCTGGGCAGCTGCCCTTGTTGGCAGTTCCAAGCCTCAGTGGGACAAAGGCATCCTGGCTCCTGGGCCCTGGGGACACGATCCCCACCTTGGTCCAGCCCCTTGTGGGTGGCTCCGGCCCTCTAATCTTCCACCTCTTCCACCGCCTCTAGCTGGATCCCCTTAGAAGTGTCTTTATTGAGCTACAATGCGTGGCTCCATCAGTGACTACATGTGGATTTAATTCTTGTGAGTGAAATCTTTCTGAATCTCAGGTGTCTGAAACTGGGCTTTTCAGAAGCACAGCCCAAGAATTCTCATGCCAGGGATGGTTTGGGCAGCGCTCACAAAAGAAGCCAAGTGGAAAGAGCAGGGGGACAGGGCAGACTGACAGACATGCGGCCCACCAGAGCAAGGGGTGTGGACTGGACCAGACCTGGTCTCACCTGGCCACAGAGAACCTGAGCTTTTGTGGCTCTGAGTCAGCCAATGGCTGCAAGCTGCAGAGGCGGGGGGCATAGGACTCCCAGTTTCCTTGGGCTTCAAGACCAATGGACGGGGCAGCTGTGGGATGGTGGCGGAACCCACTTGTCACAGCTGGGGAGAAAAGTGCTGGTCTGATCCCCACGGGGCACCGATAGCATCCACTGCCGAGTCAGAAGGGCTCCGACAGCTTTGTGCCTGTTTCTTCTCTGACTTCCAGGAAGACACGGCCCTTCCTTGGGCGGGCATCAGCACGGTGGCCAGGAGGGCGTTAGGGTGCTTCCCCGTCCAGGGAGGATGTCAGAACATCTGCTGCTGGCTGGCTTGGACCTTGGAAACCCTCCCAGAGAGCCTGGAAAAACACTTAGCGTGAAACATCTGTCCGGGAGGAGCTGAGTGCAGCACTGCATAAGGGTGAAGTGGCTTTGCATGGTGGCTCCTACTGAGGCTCTGAAGTGCGTTAAGATGATCTGTTGCATGAGAAATCCCTTTCCTTCTTACTTTGGCTTTCTTAGTGGAGAGCCAAGTTCTGCTCCCGAGATTTTCCGTGCATCTATTCCTCACCACTGCTGGTACAAAGCCCAAGGCCTGAGCAACACAGTCTCAGCTGCAGCTCGTCATTGTTCCCCACTTCCAACCTGTCATCCACCTAGCGGCAGTGCTGTCCCAGACCCTTCACGGTCCCGCTGTGTGCCTGCGAATGCTCTCCGCCAGAGGTCTCCATCCGGTCTGGCCTTTCAGCCTTTCAGGCTGCAGAGGGTCTGCAGTGCTGCCCTTCCCTGCTGTCCCCGCACCCTCTCTGCCACCACAGTTCTCTCCGGCGACTCCTGATCACACTCACTGGTGCCCTGCACCTCTGGGCCCAGCCTTGGAGGATGGGGGAGCACGCGACTCTTTCAACCAGTTTCCATTTCCAGAAGCTAGGAAGGCATAGCTGGGCTCTGGATAGATGAGGGGACATGCTGGGTGTGGCCCAGGCCTGGCGTAGTGTTTTGCACACGGGGCTTCCAGTCGGCCGTCTTGTGCCTCCCATAGGAAGCGTCACTCCTCCCCTTGGGTTGAGTCTTCATGGGCTGCCCGGCCCTGGGTGTCTGTCCTCAGCTCTTCCCAGGCACAAGGTCCAGAGTCCAACGCTGAGCAGCCCACTCTAAGGTATCGCCATGGTGCCAAGTGCACGCTCTGCCCACACTGAGACTCCCTGCCCCATTTCACTGCCTGTGACCGGCTCTTCTCGGGTAGGACTCGGCAGCCCATCTGGATGTCTGGAGCTGACATGTGGCTAGTGACACTTCCATTGTTCTGTCCATGGGAGGAAAGGGTTTGACCTGCCTCTGAATTTGTGCAAACTTAAAACTCAAAAATTGTGCTGCTGGAACATAGATTTCAAAGCCATTTTCTTTAACTTTGAGTCCAGTCCTCAAAGTCCAGTTGAAATGTTTGCTTTCCATGATGAAACTGTG